ACTACAAGACACTTGGTTTGATTTTTCAGTCAGATTCAAAGAAATCCCAAAGTGGACGTTGTTGTTGTTGTTTTCTCCCAACTGTTGTTGTCATTTAGCAGGTGATGCTGAGCAGCAGCAGACTGTAAACAAGTGTTGTTACAGACCACAGCTGATGGAAACTACTCCATTAAAATTAACTGAAACACTAAAACTAAGGATATTCTGCCTATAATTACAGTTAGTTTTAGGTAGTTTTGTAAAAAGATTATACAGTTTTAGTTATTGATTTTTTTTTTCATTTTATTACAGTTTTTATTTATTTTAGTTACAAAACTGTTTTTTAGTTTCAGTTTTCGTTATTTAGTTAGTTTTAGTGAACTATAATAACCCTGAGTCCACCTGAGTCCACCTACAGGAGGACTCAGGTGGACCCAGGTGGACTCAGGTGGACCCAAGTGGACTCAGGTGGACCCAGGTGGACTCAGGTGGACTCAGGTGGACTCAGGTGGACCCAGGTGGACTCAGGTGGACTCAGGTGGACTCAGGTGGACTCAGGTCTTACCGATGTAGAAGTAGGTGAAGCACATGGTCATGAGGTTCTTGGCGGGACTGTAGTCGTCCATCTGGTAACATCTGCAAACAGAAACCATCAACAGTCCTGCAGCAGCAGCAGCTGTTGGGTCAAACAGAACCGGTTCTACTCACTCAAACAGAACCACTGCAAAGGACTGGACCAGTCTGTAGAAGGTGGCTTCACTCACACGCTTGGAGTGGCAGCGCTGACAAGCACAGATAAAACACCTGAATTTACTGATCATTTATTAAAGACGAACTCAAGCTGAAGTTTTCTGAGTCACAGACTCTGAGCTGCACAAACTCACCACATTTAGCTGCTTTAAAACTAACAAAGATTATTTTTACTCCTTATTTTCCAGGTCTGGGACTCACCTGAGCGCTGACGTATTTGGCGAACCACTCCCTGCCTTTCCCGTTCTCTCCGCTGCACAGCTCACCAAACTTTGCCTTCTCCTCCTGGTCGAAGTCGTCCCTGAAAGAAAAACAGAAACACAACGTCTCAGAGGACAGATTCTGTCATTTTAGAGGTGATTTTATTTAAACTCATCTTAGATTTCAGACCTCACTCTGTAACCGTCTGAGTTTTGGGCCGTGTTTAAAAAAAAAATCAGTTTCAGAGAAAACATGATGGCAGGAATAATCCAAGAGAAACGAACAGAGAAATGTTACAAAAAGAAATGATGAGACAGAAATTATAAAGAGAAATGATCGAACAGAAAGGATCAATGAGAAATGATCAATAAAAATGATAAAAGGAAAGTGATCAAAGAGAAATGATGAGACAAATGATAAAATAGAAATTATAAAACAGGAATGATCAAAGAGAAATGATCAATAAGAAATGATAAGGATAAATGATCAAAGAGAAATGCTGAGTCAGAACTGACAGAAGACAGACAGGATCAAACAGATCGATGGTGAGACAGGTGAGTGACCAAACGTTAAATCAGCAGGTGAGTTCACATGAGCTGTTTGTGAAGTTACACAGTCAGAAATTACCTCCAATATTTATGTTTTATTTAACCTTTTATAAGAAAAAAAGAACAGATTTATTTTTAAAGTCAGTTTTTCACCATATGATTCATACATTTATAAATGTCATAG